ATTGATTTCCTTTCTTAATTTAAGAAGTGCAATTATTTATAACATGTTAGTTAGAGTTCAACATTTCGCCCCTCCCCCTTCAGTGCAGCAGCTTTAGAAAATGCAAGATTCTCATTGACCAACAAATTATTTTAAAATTTTTATGATGTTAGGTCAATTTTTTTATTAATTATACTTAAGATGCGAAGTTGTTGTCTCCGGCAAGCTGAGAGGACAGAGAGCTAAGGCCATGAAGTTCGTTGACGGCCTAATGATCCACTCCGGAGATCCAATGAACGATTACGTTGATGCTGCATGCAGACACGTTCTCCTCAGACAGGGAGTTCTTGGAATCAAGGTCTGTTGGTTTGTAATTAAAATGTATTTATGTGGTCTGAAATTATGTTACGATGTTTTACGAGTATTATACAGCATACATAGATTAGGTTTTTTCGTTTAACTTAAATCATTAGACAACATAGTAAAGTAAACCCTCAGTGATTCATCTAAAGTAATAATTGATTAAATTCCTTTCAGTTCTTAACAGTTTAACAGGTTTAACAGGGTTTCTCATGAATGCATGATTAAATAACATTTTTACAGTGTTTCCCAATTAACATTTGAATTAATTGACGATTTTAGTAGTAACACAGTCAAAACCTTTACATCTTTAGTCCCGGAAATTCCGAAATGTTGTCTACGATTTTTCCACAATTAAAATTGGTGGAAATGTTGTGAAATCGGTACATATTCATTTTTATTAAAGAACAATAAAATTATTTACATATTAATGTTTCCCTTAAATTTGAAGATACATTTAAGTCACACAACATTTTGAAAAGTTAATTTGACAATCTTTCAATGAAACTCTTCTCGTCATTCATCGGAAATCTAAGACGATTGTCTTATCTTAATTACCATGTTTATTGGAACGCCCTTAATTTTCTCTTAATTTAGGTCAAGATTATGTTGCCTTGGGATCCTGCAGGCAAGATGGGACCCAAGAAACCTCTGCCCGATTATGTCCAGATCGTTGAACCCAAGGAGGATACTCTTCCTCCCAGTCCTTACTCCGAGACCAAGGCCGTGAAGCCCGATCAGCCTCCAGTCCCTGTCTAAATCTTGCAAACTCTGGAGATCTTTTAACATTTCTCTTTCAGATATAAAATGTCCAGTTTCAAGAGGACGGAGATCTTACAGTCGGAAGATACTCCGGATCTTGTCTCCGGAGATGGAACCTGGGGGAGATGGGAGCATCCTATCACGATCAAGGAGTATGGAGCAATCAATAATGTCGACATATCTCCGACCTCGTCAAAATACTTTGCTATTACCAGTTATTCTAAAGTTCTAATCTACGACCCTGTGATAAAAGATGTTTACAAAACCATGACAAAATTTCAAGATGCCTGTTTCGGAGCTAAATTTCGTCGAGACGGAAAACTTTTATGCGTTGGTACATCTGAGGGACAATTGAAAATATTCGATGTCGCCACCAAAACCTTGTTAAGAATACTACGCGGCCACTCAACAGCGACACACAGATGCGACTTTACTCCTGATAACACGCACATTCTCTCGTTCTCCGACGATAAAACTGTTGGTTTGTGGGATCTCCCTTCCGAGTCTTTGGTTCAGCAGTTTAGTTCACACACGGACTATGTGCGGTGTGGGACACCATTTCATCTCAACTCTGATCTAATCCTCTCCGGAGGGTATGATAGTACCATCATGTTGTGGGATAGAAGAGTTGGTGTGGAACCTATTGTAACCCTAAACCACGGAGCTCCGGTAAGAAATAAAAACACGTACTTTTTTATTCGAATTATTTTTTTGTCGCCGACCGTAGCCATATCTTATTTTAGCTTAAACTTAGCTTTATGTTGGATCTGTTCTCTTCATCTTTTAATTTAACATCTATAATTAAGGTTGAGGATTTAGTCGTCCTACCCGGAGACGGAATGATTGTATCAGCAGGAGGGAACGATGTCAAGGTCTGGGATATAGCCGGAGGAGGACGAAACCTAGCTCGTATCAGTCCTCATCATAAAACCATCACGTGCCTCTGTGTTGAAAGCAGTGGAAGTGTTATAAGTGGATCTCTAGACAGACAAGCTAAGAGGTTGGATATGCAGAACTTCCAGGTTACCGGGAGCTTATCCTTCCCCAGTAGTCTGCTCAGTGTTGGTGTTGATATCGACAACAAGTATGTTGTCGGAGGAATGGTGGACGGTCTGGTTCAAATATTTGAGAAGAAGGATGACAAGTATATTAATGGAGTTAAAATAGATTCTAGAAGAGTTAGGAAGGAGAAAAGTCATAGGTATCTTCAATACACGCAGTTCACCCCCGCTCCCGGAGACATTATGGTGGATACATCCTTGAAGGATATTGAGCTCAAGCATGATACACTGCTGAGAAAGTATGAATACAGTAAAGCTTTGGATCAAACCATGAAACCATTTGTTCAAAGGAAGAAACCTGAATACGCGCACAGTTTATTGTATGAGCTAATGCGGCGGGAAGGATTACGAATTGCTCTGACTGGACGAGATGAAAGATCTCTTATTCTCATTCTTAATTATGTTCTGAAGAACTTGACAAATCCACGGTTTTCTAAAGTAGTTCGTTATGTGGCAGAACTATTAATAGATATCTATCTACCCGTCTCTGTAAACTCCAGCAAGGTGGAGAAGATGTTCAATGACCTGCGGAAGAAGTTAGGTCGTGAGACGCGACTAATTGAAGAGCTTGTCAAGGCTCAGGGTATGCTGGATATAGCTAAATCTGCTGGAGGGACGGGTCGGGGCAGTTCAAGAGTAGAACGGGAGATATTGATAGAGAAAGCTGACTTGAGTAACAAGGAAGAAATGGTTTATTAAAGCAACTATTCATTCAGTAAATTTGCATCCAGGAAGAAACCCAAGATATCATCGTTTCAGAAAAATGTCAAAATAAGATGACTGATTTTAAGAGCCTTGGAGTGAGCAACTGGATCCTGGCTCAGTTGAAAGAGGTATTTAATCCGTCTTGCATGATCCTCAATTAGAAATCTTGATCTTCTCTTCACAGCCATTTATTCTTCCAAACTTTTAAGGTCGGGATCTTGAAACCTACTCCCGTCCAAGTCTCTTGTATTCCGCCAATCCTTGATGGTCGAGATTGTGTCGGGGTCGCTAAAACCGGTTCCGGTAAAACCTTGGCCTTTGCTATTCCCATCCTCCAAACCCTATCAGAGGATCCTTACGGTATATATGCTCTCATCCTCACCCCAACCCGGGAGCTGGCTTTTCAAATCTCGGATCAGTTCAACGTAATTGGAACCGGGATGGGTCTCCGAACCTGTGTGGTGGTTGGAGGCCGGGATACCATCATGCAGTCCAAAGACCTGGATAAGAGACCACATGTGGTGATTGCAACCCCGGGCCGCCTGGCGGATCATATTGAGAACAACAGCACCTTCTCCCTCAGCAAGATTAAATATCTTGTCATGGATGAGGCGGACCGACTTTTAGAAGGTACATCATTTTTCAATTAAAAAATATTTTTTCCTCTAGATCCTTTCTCTTTCAATTTGTATTGAGTTTGACATAATTTTCCTTCTTGTAAGGTGGCTTCGATGGTCAACTATCTGAGATAATATCTGCCCTGCCGAAGAACAGACAAACATTACTCTTCACGGCCACAAACTCTCCAATCATTGGAGAAACTGTTTCTGCCTGTCCGAACAATCCTCATGTCTGGGAATGTGAAACTGTTGGAGAAACCGCCACCGTTTCAACTCTGGAGCAAAGATTCATCCTGACTCCATTCGAAGCTAAGAACGCGTATCTAGTTCAGCTTGTTTTGGAGACCAGAGAAAAGAAACCGAAGGATTCCATCATGATTTTCACCCGAACCTGCAAAACCGCGGAACTACTAGAGCGAACCTTTATGTAAGTACGTTATATTTTATAATAAGATTTTTTATGGTTCTAGTAAGATCAAAGGTATTTCAAATTCAAGATTTTATTTTTTATGATTTAGCAAAATCGGAGTATCCTGTTCTTCTCTGCACAGCATGAAACCACAGAAAGAGCGTATGTCCTCTCTGTCACAGTTTAAATCCAACCATACAAAGGTTTTGATTGCTACTGATGTGGCAAGTAGAGGTCTGGATATTCCTGAAGTTCAGCTGGTTGTAAATCACAATGTGCCAAGTGCTGCTAGGGATTATGTGCATCGAGTTGGACGTACTGCTAGAGCTGGGCGCGTTGGACGCGCGGTTACTCTTGTCACACCAACACAAGTTGGTTTACTACAGGTAATAACATTTTTCTCAATCATTAAAAGATTAAAAGATTTCCTAGAATTTTACATATTTTAGGACATTGAAAAAGAAACCAAAGTTCGGATGGAGGAATTATCAATCGACGATACCCGTGTCGGGGAAATCATATTGCAGGTAACAATCTTGTAAAGTGGTCTTATCTAGTCGGAAATGTCAATTAAGAGTTGATTCACTCGAAATTTAAACTGAATGCTTGAATTTGACCTTTTTAAGCATAAATTTTTAGATTTATGCTTCAATTTGTTCATACTTGGTTTGCCAAGCAAATTGCAAATATGATGTATAAATGTGTTTTTGTCCAGGTGAACACAACACTCCGTGAGGTGGATATTGAACTAGGAGAACAGGACTGGGATGAGAAGAAGAATATCAACAAGAGGAAGAAGATTATCCTTGAGGGGAAGAATCCCGACCAGGTTCAGATGGAGAAGGAGAAGAGAATTAAGAAGAGGAAGCAAGCCAGCAAAGAGAAGAGAAAGAAGATGAAGAAGACGGACGGACCTTAATATATTCTAAAATTGCATTTTTTAATAAAATTCATTCAGATTTATATTTTCAGAAATGCCTGGATTTTCTCCTAAGGCAATTGTAATTGACGGGCGCGGACATATGTTCGGTCGCCTGGCTAGCATCGTCGCCAAGCTTATCCTCAACGGAAACAAGGTTAGTGCTATAAAACCTGTCTTCTTACTGTAACCGTATGAAGTGACATTATTTATAGAACGAGGGGTGAACATATAATTTTTTTTTATATTCGTTCGTACTTATCTTCCCCAATTCAAACATACCAAATTTTCTAAAGGGGGGGGGAATTTTTCTAGAAATGAACTCCCCTGTCTCCCGGTTAATCACGTGCGTAATTCTTTAAAAAAAATCTCTTCCTTATCATTGCAGATTGCATCTTTCTGATAAATTGAACATGCCCAAAAATATTTGAATTTATTAAGATTATCAAAAGTTGACTGTTCAGGTTGTCGTTGTAAGAACCGAGGGAATTAATATTTCCGGTAACTTCTACAGAAACAAGCTCAAGTATCTTGATTTCTTGAAGAAGAGGTAATCTAATTTAATTTTTAAATGATGGTTCGCGTTAATTATTAAGTACAAATGGTTAGCAGGCTTTAAATAACATCGATCATTATCCATTTGATTTGTTATAACACGCATGATTCATCCATTTATCCATATCCAATAGCCATTCGATGTATATTCATAAGCATGTTTTCATATATGTATATTTATTAACCATCTCACGATTTATATTTTTTCTCCAGGTGTAATGTTAAGCCTACCCGTGGACCTTTCCATTTCCGCGCCCCTGGCAAGATCTTTTACAGGTAATTTTTAGATTTTGGTTCACTTCTAAATAAATATAATTGTTAAAAATAACAGTTCATCATAAATATGACTTTTTTCTCCATCGCTGCTTTTTTGTAACAGTCCAATGCGGATTAGGTTGACATTTTTAAAAGATCTCTAAAACATTTCATAGTATTGGTAAATCCGATTTTCGAACATTATAAACCTAGGATGATCATTTGAGGAAATTTTTTTGGGAATTTAATAGTTTTTGGTGAGCTAGGACCAGACAACCACTGCAGTGTTAAATATGATGTAACGTTCAATCCGACCCTGTCCGTTTTTAGGTTATTAATCGGTTATTAATTCAGATTAAATAATATTTAGATGCGTGCGCGGCATGGTCCCCCACAAGACCACCCGTGGCAAGATCTCCATGAAGAGGCTGCAGACCTTTGAGGGAGTTCCTCCTCCATATGACAAAAAGAAGAGGATGGTCATCCCCTCCGCCCTGAAGGTTCTCAGGCTCAAGCACGGCAGGAAGTTCTGCTCTCTTGGCAGACTCGGACACGAGGTGAGTTAATTATTATTTTAGCCCGTTCCCTTCTCCCAAGCTCGGATCTTTCCTAATTCATTGAAATAAGTTTCATTTTCTTCTATTCTTAATATCCTGAATACTATAAAATATTGATTTTAAATACAGATTATTAAAACTTACAGTACATTGAAGTTCTTATTGCTCCCCCTTATCCTTCGATTACTTTCAGTACTTATATTTCTTATTGCAACCCTTGAAAATTTTTCATTTCGATGATCTACAGTACTTCAAATTCTTATTGCCTCTTCCCCTCATCTCAATCACGGACTCTTAAGAACCTTTGATGTTTTTGTATAATTTTGCATAATCGTTTTTGTATTAATATTTTTTCTCTCGTAGGTTGGATGGAAGTACCAGGACATCGTTGAGGCTCTCGAGACCAAGAGGAAGCTGAAGGGTGAATCCTACCACAAGGGACAACTCGAGGTCGCCAAGGCCAAGGAGGCCGTTCTCGCCGATCCCAAGATTGTTAAGAGGATTGCCCCGTTCCAGAAGGTGATCGAGTCCTACGGACATTAAGCCTGTACAGCGTACCCTGACCATCTTATGTACATTGTACACGATCAATTACAATTGCTAAATAAACTATAAACTAACAAGTTTGTAATTCAATCCTCTTGTTTCAGATCATAATGTCTGCTTAGTTCGAGAATACATAGGATTAGATAATTGTAAGGGAAGTTTAATTGAATTTTAGATGTTCGCAGTTTTGTCGAGAATTCTTGAAATATTGAAGGGTTGATATTTGAATAAATTTATTGTTTGGAGCTTTTTTAAATTTCTGTATCGGTTTTGGATTCTCTAAGGGACTAACTAAACTTTTAATGATATTGAAGTAAATAGTTTTACCCACCTTGTGATGTAAGAAAAGTGGGAAATATGGTTCATTAAAAAGTGTGAAATATGGTTCATCAAATTAAACTTTGTTCTTAAAACCTGCATTTTCGGTTAGGGCGTTGTACATGGTCTAACGAAAATTTAAATGAACTGATAGAAAATATATTTATCTATATTATTCTTATTTATTGTCACATGGTCTAAAAAAAATAAAAATGAACTGAAGGAAAGTATTTTTACTTTTATATTGCAAAATATGGTATTTGAGTAATCCTGGTTTCAAACTTTTATTTCATTTTACATGGCCTAGGGGAAATTCCAACGATATTGAAAAAAATATTTTTTTCCACTTGGTATAAGGGTTAAATATGGTTCATCAAATTAAACCTGGTTCATCTAGAAACTCGAGAAGAAAGCAAGATGGTGCGGAAGAAGATAGATAATCGTATCAGGCATACACGATTTATTAATCGGATTATTCTCCTCTAAATTAAGGAATAAATTGCACACGCAAATTTACAGTTTCAAATATATAGGGAGGATATGGATTTTTGTTCCAGTAATGAACTTGTATATTTGGAAGGAGTTTTTTCTTCTCTATTTTCTGATTCGTGCTTCTGTGATAAAGAAGGTTAAAATACCAAATTTGTGGTTGAACAAAAATGTCTTAAAAAATCACTGGAAAAGTTAAAATTGTTAACCCATGGACTTTTTATTTAAAGAAACTCAGTGTTGAAAGCCGCCAAGTGTTCTGATTGGTTTGATATTCCATATGTTTGAAAACAATCTTTAAATAAGGATCAAAATATTTGAAAAACCTATCTACTGGGACCTATATTCGTTTTGGTATCAACTCTTAAGAGGGAAATTTTAGTTAAGTTGTTTTTACCCTAAAGGGTTGGTTGGTTGGTTGGTATAAAGAAATTCAGAAATACAAGCTCATCAAGAATCCTAATTTTTATTCATGTATGATCCCAGGGTTCTCATTGAGAACTGTGTACAGAAAGGACACAGGAAGATACAGATATTCGAAAGATTAATAATTCTTAAAAAAAAGGGCATTGAGATATTTTAGATTTAGGAATTAAAAAAAAATTAACATTGAACTTCCGTCTGCCATTATCTGTCTACATCTGTCTACGCCTGTTTAATATCTGTCCAAATCTGTCTACATCTGTCAACATCTGTCTACATCTGTCAACATCTGTCTACATCTGTCAACATCTGTCAACATCTGTCTATGCCTGTTTAATATCTGTTGGTGTCAGATCCCTGTTTGTTGTTGTTGGAGACAAGGCTAAGGATCAGGTTGTACTGCTTCATCATATGCTAAGTAAAGCGGCGGTCAAAGCAAGACCCTCAGGTATGGCACCCCCCCATCCGTAGGGTGCTCTGAACAAAATAGCTCAAACATGTTTTGATAAGGAATATGGACTAGTTCAAATATGAAATTTCTGCATTTTAAAGCGTCATTTTTACTGATTCTTTGTTGTTGCCTTTTTCCATCATTTTCAGCTTTAGTGTTACAACTTCGTCAATGTTTAAGCTTTTTTCCTTGAAGCCTCCCAAAAAATATGTTTCTCCGTCCCCTCCCACCCATAATATGTTTCTCCGTCCCCTCCCACCCATAATATGTTTCTCCGTCCCCTCCCACCCATAATATGTTTCTCCGTCCCCTCCCACCCATAATATTAATGAAAACGCCATTCTAATTCCTCAAAGCAATTTACCCCCTCACCTCAACCAAAAAATACGTAAAACAGTTTTAAAAACAACACAACATTAATAGATAAATTTTCAGGTTTGAAATATTTTTTATTGCAACAACATTAATTATTAATCTTATTCCTCTAATCAAAAAAAGTTTGATACAATATTTTTAACTTAGCTGTTTTGCAGTAACATATTTGGTACATAACATTCTTGTCTGTCTATATATATATAAAGTTGTAATCTCTGTTTTTATGTTTGTTAATTTGGCCGATCATAACTCAGGAACCCCTCGACCGATTTGCCTCAAATAATGATTGGGGAACTTGGGAAAACCACAGGAATGTTAGTTTAAAGATTCTTAGTTAAGTGATATACGACAAAGCGCGGGTAAACGGCGGAACTAACGCTGGGTTTCCAAGTTTTTAGATTAAATAATTTTTGTATTGTAATATATTTGTTACAGTGCTGTGGTGTTACAAGAAGGAACTGGGATTTACAAGTCACAGGTATGTTTTGTAAATAAACTCTGCAGTACGGTATGTTTTGTAAATAAACTCTGCAGTACGGTATGTTTTTAAATAAACTCTGCAGTACGGTATGTTTTGTAAATAAACTCTGCAGTACGGTATGTTTTTAAATAAACTCTGCAGTACGGTATGTTTTGTAAATAAACTCTGCAGTACGGTATGTTTTGTAAATAAACTCTGCAGTACGGTATGTTTTGTAAATAAACTCTGCAGTACGCTGCGTAATAAATATTTTTTAAACTGACTTAGAGGAAACCGACCAAAAGGCCATCCGAACTAATTATCGAATAGTTTTTTAAATTGTATTTTTAACTCCCCGCGAGCTTTAACGGATTTAAATCGACTTCCCATGATAACTCCGTCTTATCAACAGCCTACTCCACCTATACAGAATACAGCTAAACCTATTCCGACATATTTTATTAAATTTTAGGTCTGAAACCCCTTTAGATAGAAAAATATTCGGTCAGAGGCCGAATTTAAAGAATTTGAGCTATGAGACGCGGTTCAAACAATAGTTGGTTCCTCTAGAAGTTTATTCAGTGTTTCGAGATTTGAGCCGTCGCTCAAATGGAACCGGTTTTTGGTGGATCAGCGATGTGGCTTAAATTCTTAAAATTCGGTCTCAGAAATCATAAGTGTTAAGTTTGAATCTGGATCTGCATAACAATTTTATCTTAGTAAAAAGTAATTCAATGTTTGTTGTTGTTCAGGAAGAAGCGTATGAAGCAGTTGCAGAAGAAGATAAAGTCCGGGAAGCTGGATGTGAACGAAGACGACCCCTTCGAGCTCTTCATCGCCTCCACTAACATCAGATATGCCTACTATCATGAAACTCACAAAATTTTGGGTAACATTAAACATTATTAATTTTATTTGTTCTTTTATCTCGTTTCATAACTAATAGGAATAATAACGGATGTTATAAATGATTTCAGGAAAGGTTTTCTCAAATAAAAAAATTATGTTTTATAAGTTTAACAATAAAAATACGATTTTGTAAAAAAAATGATTAATTTTGGTTATTTCGCCACTGCAATTAATGCGTTAAAAATGATTTTCGAAGATTTGGTGTAAAATAAAATAATGTGAATTTTAAGTTATAACATTGTTTCCCTCGATCTATCCCCATTTGAGCAATAAAAACCCTTAAAACTTACTGTTTTCGTCATTCAAACATAAAAGGATTTTATTTTTTTCTTTGCAGGGGAGGGAAGGGGGGAAAGTGTTGAAAAAAATATTTAATTTTAAGAGGCGCAAATTAAGATTGTAAACTACGTAGGAAACACCTACGGGATGTGCGTGCTCCAGGATTTTGAGGCATTGACCCCGAACCTGCTGGCCAGGACGATAGAGACGGTTGAGGGGGGTGGAGCAGTTATTATTCTTCTCAAGGGTGTGTCCTCCCTTAAACAGTTGTACACAATGTCTATGGATGTACACTCAAGGTAGGGTTAAACGGAATTAAATAAATTGGATTTAAAATAACTGTGTTCATTTTGTCCCCTAAAATGCATGAATAAAGAACCCGTAACAATATTAACAATTCCATGTTAGAATGTAGGACTCATATAATTGCATAGGAGCAGGATATGAAGTCAGATCATCGATAACTCTTTTCGGAGACTTGGAACCTCTGAAAAGTGACCTTCGTCGGCTCAGATTTTTTATCTCCGGTCCAGTTGGACATAAATTGCCCATTTTTTAAAAATGTATACTCCCTATGACCACAAAAATACACTAAAATAATTGCTTTTTTAGGGTATTTTAGATGTCAAAACAGAGTCTCAAAAATTGTTTTTTTTTTAAATTTTTAAAATTCAAAAATTGACAAGGTCTGATAAAAATATTGGAAGGAAAGAAAAGAGAAAATATTATTGATATTATTATCTTAGCACATTAATGAAAACAAATAATTTTTTTGTGGGCATATATATTTCTTTGACGAATCACCCTTTTTTTGAATTTTTATCCTTCTACAAATGGTGGCTGGTTCTAGTTTTAAAGATAATGTTATATAATTACATAGGAGCAGGATATGAAGTCAGAATCATTACCGATATCTCTTAGCGTATTCTTGGGTCATTGGAAGTATATACAAAAAAATGGGCTATTAATGTCCAACCAGGCCGGAGATAAAAAATCTGCGCCGACGGAGGTCACTTTTCACTTACTTAATTTCAAGTGACCCTTCATTAATAGAGTGATATGTCCGATTCCAAACTATAAAGCTTTGGCTGAGAAAGTATGAATTATATATCAATGGTTTTTTGTTTTTGTTATTTTCATTCGTGGGTGTCCTACAAAAGTGACTTTTCTTACGAGCAAATTGTACTTTTAAAAACAATGGAGTAAATCATCAGAATAGAAAAGATTATAGCTAGAATTTTTCTGCATTATTTATAAGATCAAGGTTTCAAGGGTGCTGTTGAGGACAGCATGCCCTGGCCCCTCTGTAAATGGAGGCTCATTGCAAATTGCCCTGAAATTGCCTTTAAATGAATTGAAATATAATCCCAGCTAATTTTTTGTTTCAAAATGTAGTTGCTTGAATCAAGTGATAAATTAACTAACAACATTAAATTAAATAAAAAAATCAGGACTTACTTTAACTTGTTCTTCTATTACGAGTAGTTTGACACAAGCTTTTTTATTTTCTACTTACTTTTAAAGCATCTTGCATCAATGGCGTATTCTTTATTCGAAATATCTTAAATTGTATTTCGAATTAAGTTTTATTTTTAATAAATGATTGATTGTGTAGGTACAGGACGGAGTCCCATCAGGATGTTGTGAACAGGTTCAACGAGAGATTCATCCTCTCTCTAGCTTCCAATCCTGCAGCAATCTTTCTAGATGATCAGCTCAACATCCTTCCCGTCTCATCTCATATTAAAACCTTGGAGAAGCTCCCGCCAGGTAGGAATATTAGAAATCCCTCCCGTCTCATCTCATATCAAAACCTTGGAGAAACTCCCGCCAGGTAGGAATATTAGTAATCCCTCCCGTCTCATCTCAAATCAAAACCTTGGAGAAACTCCCGCCAGGTAGGAATATTAGTAATCTCTCCCGTCTCATCTCATATCAAAACCTTAGAGAAACTCCCGCCAGGTAGGAATATTAGTAATCTCTTCCGTCTCATCTCAAATCAAAACCTTGGAGAAACTCCCGCCAGGTAGGAATATTAGAAATCCCTCCCGTCTAATCTCGTTTCAAAACCTTGGAGAAACTCCCGCCAGGTAGGAATATTAGTAATCTCTCCCGTCTAATCTCGTTTCAAAACCTTGGAGAAACTCCCGCCAGGTAGGAATATTAGTAATCTCTCCCGTCTCATCTCAAATCAAAACCTTGGAGAATCTCCCGCTAGGTAGGAATATTAGCAATCTCTTCCTTCAAATCGCATATATCTAGTACTTCCCGTATCATCTCAAATCTAATCCTTCCCATCTCATCTCATACCATGTACTTCCCGTCTCATCTCATAAATGATACTTCCTGTTTCCTCTCATATCTAATCCTTCCCGTTTCATCTCATATATAATCCTTCCCGTCTTGACTCATATCTAATGATTCCCTTCTCATCATATATCTAGTACTTCCCGCATAATCTCGTATCTAACCCTTCCCGTCTCATCTCAAACCATGTACTTCCCGTCTTATCTCATAAATCCTTCCCGTCTTCATATCTAATCCTTCCCGTCTCATCTCATATCTAATCCTTCCCGTCTCATCTCATATCATGTACTTCTCGTCTTATCTCATAAAAAATCCTTCCCGTCTCATCTCATATCGAATTCTTCCCGTCTCATCTCGTTTCTAATCCTTTCCGTTTTATCTCATAAATAATCATTTTCATCTTATATTAATCCTTCCCGTCTCATCTAATATCTAATCCTTCCCGTCTCATCTTATATCCAAACCTTCCCGTTTCAGATCTAGTACTTCCCGTCTCATCTCATATCACGTACTTCCCGTCTCATCTCTTAAATAATCCTTCCCGGGTCATCTCATATCTAATCCTTCATGTCTCATCTTATATCTAATCCTTCTCCTCTCATCTCATATCATGTACTTACCGTCTCATCTCATATCTAATCCTTTCCGTATCATCTCAAATCTAATCCTTCCCGTCTCATTTCATTTCTAATCCTTCCCGTTTCATCTCAAATCTAATCCTTCCCGTTTAATCTCATCTAATCCTTCCCGTTTCATCTATCTATCTTTCTTCAAGTCTTCTCTCATATCTAATCCTTCACGTCTCATCTCATATATAATCCTTCCCGTCTTCTCTCATATCTAATCCTTCCCGTCTTCTCTCATATCTAATCCTTCCCGTCTCATCTTATATCTAATCCTTCCCGTTTCATATTTGGTACTTTCCGTCTCATCTCATATTTAATCCTCCCCGTCTTATCTTATATTTAATCCTTCCCTTATCACCTCATATCTAGTACTTCCCGTTTCATCTCATATCTAATCCTTCCCGCCTTCTCTCATATCTAATTCTTCAAGTCTCATCTCAAATCTAATCCTTCCCGTCTTCTCTCATATCTAATCCTTCAAGCCTCATTTCATATTATGTACTTCTTGTTTCACCTCATAATGAGCCCTGAAGAAATTCCCATCAGGGTCCTAAGCACTGGGTTCAGGGTTTGTATTCTTTTAAGTACTTATTCCACAGGTTTAAGTACTTCTCTCAACCCCAACCCCCCCCCTCTCCCGTCAAAAAAACCGTGCAACAAATTTTCCATCTCCCAAAAGATTCAAAGAAAAAAACCAGAGGTTAAAACTTTTGTGTTGTGAACCCGGGATTAAGAAGTTATTCATATCATCCATATCTGCAGTCCTTATAATTAAAATGATTCCTCTTTGATATCCCACGGTAGTCATACCCGGAAGGAATAGCTGCATTTGCGGAATCAAGCACTTACTCCACAAATTTTAACTTGTCACAGTGAATATGTAGATGAAACGTTTAAAGATTATGGCTATTTCACAAAAAAGGTGTGACCTAAGGTGCATAGAATCAATTTGGGTTTTCACAATTTTGTAATAAAATTTTCTAAAATTCACTACTAGGATTGATTTTAACGGGATGTATGATTTTTATGTGGAATTTTATCAAAAGAAAATTAAAATTTTAAAGATAAAACTTTTCGTTAAATCAAATTTTCTAAGATGATTTTAAATAGTGGGGGTTAAAGGGACTGTAAGCATGATTTCAAGCGACCTTCCATTTAAAGACTGTCATCCACCATTCACAACGGTACCCTTTAAACCTTTGACTGATGGTACCCTTTAAACCTTTGACTGATGGGCCCTTTAAACCTTTGATTAGATGGTATCCTTTAAACCTTTGACTGATGGTACCCTTTAAACCTTTGATTTTATGGTACCCTTTAAACCTTTGACTGATGTTACCCCTTAAACCTTTGACTGATGTTACGCTTTAAATCTTTGCCTGATCAAGAACGACAGACTTTTCCTGATCAGTCAAAAGGTTAAAGGGTAAATACTGTTGTGATTGTAAATCGAAGATGTCTCTTCTTAAATGGAAGGTCACTTAACATCATTCGAACAATACTTTTAAATGAAATAAAAATAAATCTAGAAGTTGTTAGGACGAAATCAAGTTGAGTTAATCCAGATTAGAATATTTCTCCTGGTAGGACTAAATCAAGTTGAGTGAATCCAGATTAGAATATTTTTCCTGGTAGGACGAAATATAGTTGAGTTAATCCAGGTTCAGAATATTTCTCCTGGTAGGACGAACTATAGTTGAGTTACTCTAGGTTTCGAAAATTTCTCCTGATAGGACGAAATCTAGTTGAGCGAATCCAGATTAGAATATTTCTCCTGTAGGACGAAATCAAGTTGAGGGAATCCAGATTAGAATATTTCTCCTGGTAGGACGAAATATAGCTGAGTGAATCCAGGTTTAGAATATTTCTCCTGGTAGGACGAAATATAGCTGAGTGAATCCAGGTTTAGAATATTTCTCCTGGTAGGACGAAATATAGTTGAGTGAATCCAGGTTTAGAATATTTCTCCTAAAGTGGGACGAAATCTAGTTGGATGAATCCAGGTTTAGAATATTTCTCCTAGTGGGACGAAACTCAGATTTAAGTCAATATCGGCTCATATTTAAATTCATTTTAATGCCAAGATAATATTGATAAATCTCCTCCGAGTATTATTAATATTTCAAGAATTCAATTTCCTAAAATATTGGTTAATTTGCTGGCCCCGCAGGGTTGAGATACTGTAGTCCCCGAAAAATGAAATAAAACGAATTAGTTTTTTCAACTCGCGGTTTTCACTGACTTATTTCATCTTAGGAAGGTCGTTATAGATATTTTTAATTTAATATTGATATTAACTTCAAACGGAAATTTATACCGTTCACATTGTTTTTTTTCCGCGGCGCTCATACAGGTCTGGTCTATCTCTGTCTTTATATTATGATTAAAGAACTTTATCTGCAACACTGATTTCAGGAGCTGTGTCAGCGAGTGATCATGAGAGTGAACTATCTGAACTTAAATCCAGCCTTCAGGATACTCAACCTGTTGGAGCACTCGTCAATTCTTGCAGGTAGGATACCACTACAAGAACAAGGTAGGATACATAGGATACAGAGACTTAGACCGAGAATAAAGTAGGAAGAGTAGGACAAAGAGGAAAGATGATACAGAATACAGAACAAAGTAGTGGAATGAGAATACAGGGTAGTGTAGAATATAGAGTATATAGGTAATATAAGGATACTAAGGATACAGAAAAGTGTAGAATACTAAGGAAACAGAAAAGTGTAGAATACCAAGGAAGCAGAAAAGAGTAGAATACTAAGGATACAGAAAATAGTAGAATACTAAGGATACAGAAAAGAGTAGAATACTAAGGATACAGAAAAGAGTAGAATTCTAAGGATACAGAAAAGAGTAGAATACTAAGGATACAGAAAAGAGTAGAATACTAAGGATGCAGAAAAGAGTAGAATACTAAGGAAACAATTGAGATTATGATACAAACTACTGGTCTCAGATTCGGGGTTCAGATTCTATGATGTTTTCGTGTTTTTGATGTAACTACAACTTAATTCAGATTACATTACTATTGTGCAATATTGCATGACAAAACTTCGTGTTGTTCCGATTTCAATGAACATTATATGAAGAAACATTTGGTTATTTAGATTTCATTAAATATTGTCTGAGGAACCATGTTGTTCCGATATCATTATACATTGTATGAAGAAACATTTGGTTTTTTAGATTTCATTAAATATTGTCTGAGGAACCATATTGTTCCGTTATCATTAAACATTATATGAAGAAACATTAGGTTATTTAGAGTTCATTAAACATTGTCTGAGGAACCATGTTGTTCCGATATCATTATACATTATATGAAGAAACATTTGGTTTTTTAGATTTCATTAAATATTGTCTGAGGAACCATGTTGTTCCGATATCATTAAACATTATATGAAGAAACATCAGGTTATTTAGATTTCATTAAACATTGTATGAGGAACCTATTGTCCCGTTATCATTAAACATTATATAAGGAAACATCTCGTTTCATTAAACATTATAAAAATAAACATCTTGTTTTTTGATTTTATTAAACAGCATAAGAAATAACATCTTGTTAAGATTTTATCAAATACTCGCTGAAGGGCCCGGCGGTGCCCGTGGAAAAAAAAATAAAATAAAAGTATTTTGAAAAAGAAAACTCGATTTTTTAAGTCTATAACACCTCCCGGTCACCCATGAGTGTCCTCAAAAAATTTCAGCCCAATCGGTCCAACCGTTTGGGCGGCTATAGGTGACATACATACGAATGTCTTGTTTTATTATTTAGATTATATGAGTAAAAATCCGATTTCATTTAAAATTTTCAGAAGATACATTTTTTTATATATAGTTTAAACAGTATATAAAAAATTCTGTTTGGAAAAAAAGCATATCAAGTATTTTATGAAGAAACATGGTTCTCCCTATTTCATGAAACATTATATGAGAAAACATCTTATTTCGATTTCATTAAATAGTATATGAAGAAACTTCCCATTTCATTGAATATAGTATATGAAGAAACTTCCCATTTCATTGAACATTATATGAATAAAACATTTGGTTTTTCGATTTTACCAAACATTATATGAAGAAACATCTTGTTCGGATTTCATCAAACATTATTATAATGATAAAACCATTTGCTTTTTTCCCATTTCATTAAACATTATGCAAAGAAACATTTTTAATTTTTTTTATTTCATAAAACATTACATAAAAATACATTTTTTATATTTCATTAAAAATATGCAAAAACATCGTGATATTCCCCATAATTCATTAGTTCATTATTTCCTTATTTAAAATTTTTTTTCTATTTCATTGAACATATGATAAAACATTGTGATATTCTCTCTTTTTCATTATTTCATTATTTATAGAAACATTTTATTGTTCTCTACTTCATTGAACATATGAAAAAGCATCATGATATTCCCCGTATTTCATTATTTAATTATTTCATAATTTCAAAGAAACATTTTATATTTTATATTTCATTGAACATATGAAAAAACATCCTGTTGTTGCTCCAAATTATTCTGGATATTTGTAAAACTGTCACGAACCAGCCTTGCTCAACATGATTTACATGGAAGCAAGAATTATGACTGAATATATTTTGTGCAGTTTGATGAATGGTAATTTCATGGCGGGTAGATATTCAGGATGTGAAGGAGAGCCCTTTAAACCTTTTATCCGAAGAATGTGATAAATTTGAGGTTGAGGAGAGGGAATTAGCATTTAAATCCTGTGAGTTAGATCTTCTGGTCTATATGCTTGGAGCTAGGAGTAGAATATATTGGGACTGAATGCCCTAGTTTGATTTATTACAGAAGGGAAGTGTTCCAGGTAGGGAGAGAAAGTAAAATAGAGGGGCGGGCAGTTAGCTTAATTTTAAGTGACCTTCCATGCTAATATTTACAGCGGTAACCTTAAAACATTTATCTAATCAAAATTGTGGAAGATATGGTCGTTTTAAAATTGTTTAAATCTGTTTTTATTATGTTTTTCAGAAGTAGAAATACTTTTGTAGAGAAACCACAAGTAAAGATAATCAGTTTTTAAAATTATAAACATTGATATCTAATTCATACTTGATCAGACAAAGCTTCAAAGGGTACTATTAAATCGGGCAATGCCATCTTTGTATGGAGGTTCACTTGCAATTACGCTTACAGTCCCTTTAAATTTAAAATTCGGTGATAGTGATGGAACAAACCTCAGCTCTGTAGAGTAAAACAGTAGATGTTAGTTCCACACATATTGAAAATGTATTTCGGTCTGGGTTGACCCTCGTCAGTTCTTGAGATTGTTTTTTCACAAAGATTAAAAACAAAATTTTTCTAATTCATTTGTAAAGTTTCCAAAGTTAATCGATCTTATCTTTGCACTTTGGCTCATGGATCCAGGGTATAGAGGCTTTTTTATGAAAATGTAGAGAATAGCTTGATCAGTTTTCCAGCCTTTTGAACTCTGTGAATTATCATTTGAATAATTTCTTCAAGATTTACTTGAAGGAACATGTTGATCAAAATTCCTGAACTTATTCAAATTTTGCTATATCTCTCTTAAAGCTTAATTGACACTAAGGTACGACTAAAAAACTTAATAGATAGGATAAAATTCTCTTAATGTATTGAATTCCGATTTTGTATGATTTGTAAGGTTAAGGTTCATGTTGCAAACTAAAGAACAAAAATTAATGATTCCTACAAATGATCCTTATTCTTGGTAAAAGTGTAATAAATAATATGGAAACCGATATCTAAGAATGGTACCAACCTCTTAATTGTTATGTTCTATATCAAGATTAAAATATTTTAATATTATGCTATATGGGTAGGATAAACACTTTAAAGGGACTTCTAAGTGGAAGCATTTACGTCCTTTTTCAAGTGCTTTGGATTAGGATCCGAATCCGCAAGAATATGCAAATCTTGGCGGCAAAATATCAACCAAAAATGGCAAACAAAAATATTTTGCTCTCAAACCCCAAATCTGAAATATTGAAAAGAAACAAATTTATTAGAATTTCCTGATCTCTGAATGGTACAGCAAAGTTTAGCATAAAAGTAACAAAGAAAAAGAAGAAAAATAATTTGAAAATTCTTCTTTTGTTGAGAAAATCAGTAAATCTTAAAGAAATTTTCATGACCTGGATGTGGATCCAGGATCCAGATCTGAGTCCAGTTCTGCATAAAAATTAAATGGATCGTAAGCACTGCCTTTTCCTGTGTATATTGTGGGCGCACATTGTTCAATACTACATACAGTTCAAACTAGATATCACTAAAGAAATAAAAAGAGTATCTAATATATACAATACATATATACTATCTAGTATAATGTATTCCATGTGGCCCATATCTTGTTGTGAAGGAGGTAACAAACCTGAAACTAATATCTGCAAACTTTAAATGGATTTAAATACATTAAATTTGAAGAACTTGAGTATTAAGAATTTAGTTTAATGATATCTACAAACTTATTCATTTAAGTTTGATATTAATTTTAATATATTAATTTCTCCAAATTCTTCATTGTTATTTTCTCTATTGTAAGTTGGGGGAAGGAAGCTATGCTTTAAGATATTATGTAAATTCTTGAATATAAATGCCGAGTAATATTGGTGTTCAATATCAGTTTTTCAGAAATTGAAACACATTAACTTACTTACATTGTGTTCTTTTAAACATCTCTGTATCATACTAAATGGTTGCGAAACATGAACTTCAGTTTTTCAAAATTAAAGAATAGGTTCATAAGAAATAAGATTTATTTTGCACTTAAGCCAGTGAAACTTTGGGCCACTTTTTTGAAAAAAATGCTCTTAGAAAAGATTACATAAGAAAAAGCGTTGAGATTTTTATTTTCAAACTCATTTAGATTTGTGCTTTTTGTAAAAATCAAATCACTAATGTCAGACGAAAATAATTTTGTCAAAATAAAGCAAGATGAGCAACAAAATATCCATCTTGAAATACTGAGTTCAGAAACGTCAAATTCGTAAAAATCCCTTGAAAATTAAGCAAATTAAAAAATCTAAAAACCCATTTCGGTAAAACATTTGAATAAAAAGCGCCAATTTTTGAAATATCGATAATCGAACAAAAGGACAGTATTCAGCAGTTAAAGACAAAAGTTTCAATTGCCATATCAATATCAATATCAATATATCTCCTTTTTTTTCTTCATAAAAATAATGAGTTTTTATTTTTAAATTTTTACTTCTATAAATGTTGCTTCTAATTTGTTAGGGCATAATTTTTTGCTTTTACATTAAAGATTTGACGTTTTTAATGAAATAGTTTCATTCTTAACATTCAGTGTTTCGGATCCGTATCATTTTGATGCGGATCCGGATCCGCGGATCCGCATCCGTGATGATGGATCCGGATCCGGATCCGAGGTAACTTTTGATTCTGTGAATCGGATTTTCCCTATTAAATGTTATGCAAGGTTATAATTTATAAACTATAGTAATCCTAAAGTTAAAAATGTCGTCATTACTATTATATAAATGTAAACATTAGATTATTAAAGATAATTTTGAAAAATTTTCGTCATGTAAATAATACATTTACGAACCATTTTGATTTATTTATTCCATGGTTTTGGTTAATTTTTGGCGCTACCCGGATCCATATCAACGTTTCCTGATACGGATCCGGATCCGACCAAATGATACGGATCCGGATCCGAAACGCTGTTAACATTAATTAAAAAGAAACATTTGCATGCCCTTGATTGACCTTGAATAGAAGTTTAAAGGGACTGAAAAAGAAAAATGAAAGGGGGTTTAGACTGAAACCTAATTGATAATATCATCACTCGATCAGAACTCCCACCAATAATAGTACAGTATACAGGAAAATTATACTGCACTGCCATTGGTGGGAGTTATGGTCACATGATACGGACATATTTATTATACTATCAGTTATCTCTATTAAAAATGAAAAATTATCAAATTCAAATAATAATAGAAGCAAACCTAAGTTTCTTAGGCTTCTCTGGGATATCGTCATTTTCAGATTGGTTGTTTATTTGATGAGGATGATTCGGTTAAACCTTTTATTTTTATACAAAATTTTATTTTTATAGTTTTTCGTTTAAATTTTACACAGTTTTATATCAATTTCTGGAGACAGGAACATCAGATAGAACTCTCATGGGTCTTAATTACTAAATCGCTTAGGTTTCAGCTTTTACCCCCTTTAATTTTTCCTTCACAGTATTTAAAAATTGAACGCTGTTTTTTCTCAGGAAAAAAATGATATTGCTCACTCTGAAAACCCCAAGCCATCTAATTCTAATTCAATTATAAAAAGTGGGAAAATGTTTTCTAGCCCAAATAAAAGACTCAATAATTTTTAATAAGACTAAAGCATTATAATGAATAAGAAATTGAATATAATTTCCCTCTTCAAAGGTGACCAAACATTTTTTGCTGGTTTTTGAGTTGTGTGATGTGTGTGATGGAGAGACCATTATTTGTGTTTGTTTAGGAATCATAGCCTTCATCTAATGTTAGAGAGATTAATGAACAATAAACATAAGATAATGCATTGTATATTGCACTTAGCATTAAGAATATTTCCCAAAAATATGTTTTAGTCAACAATCTTTGAATCAAGAAATTTTCTCAATTATGTTTTCAAAATATTTTTGCTAAAAAGTGTAAAAATTTCAAAAAAATGATTTTTCCAGATCTTGGTTCATAAATGCAAAGAAAAAATTCTGTTAAATTCTCCTTATTAATAATTTTACAAAACATTTAAATTCTGTGTTTAACTTTATTTAAAATACCAGTTGGATAGAAGTTTAGATGAATAAGAAGAGTGGGCAGCCTCCAGTACCCAACAACCCGGTATTCTTCAGTTTATAAACATCTACACTCGAGATAACTCCTACTTTTTTGTCTTCTAATATTCAGTTTGAATTTTCTCAAACCATTCTCTGGAAAATCAATCTTATGAAACAAAGTATATGCTTAAAAAATATGCACTAAACAGGGCTTTACACATTGGGTTTCTCTCCAGATTTTTTGGTCATTATTATTTTATGACACATTAAAATACTTTTTATTGTCACAACTGTTTAGACCACTCTGCCTAACCTTGCCTTACATGTATTAGTAAATTAAACAAGTTTTTGTTTATTTACCATCGAAAGGGTACACAAGGAAAAACAAGGGACATATTCACTATTCAGAAATTAGACACGAATACACCTCTAAACAAGTAGTATAATTCATGAAAACACTTCTGTTATGTTTATTTATCGGATATGTTCAGAATTCTGGAATCTGATTTTCATTTTTATATTTTGCAGATACTACCTTTGTAGATTGAAATACAAATTGGACAAATAGGGCAATGGAACTTTTGAAAGATGTGATGTACAGAAAGGAAATAATACAGAATAGAATATTTTCTAAAGAAACAAATAGACAATAAAGAATGTTGTTGCAATGCTAGTATTTAAAATTGTCTATATGGAAATTTAGCAACTAAGGTTTGGGTGTTTTTAGAAACAAAATTTTCTTTCTATAAAGTTTCATATTCTTAAGCTTGTCTTCTTGGTAAAAGGATCTCAAAAGCAGCCTATTTAAAATATTACAAAAGTTAAGTGGGAAACACTTAAAAAGATTTATTTTATGTAAATCATTTATTTATTATGGCCAACATAGCATGAGTGGTATAACCCTCGGACTATTTAAACAAGTTCCTTTTCTCCAAGTCTTAAGATTTGTTAAAACCATGGTTACACTAGGCTTTTAAGTTAGTTCTCAATGATTTTTTTAAAGTTTTGAGTATAAAATGAAAACTTGTAAGGGTTCTTGTATATCTTATTTGATATATATAATTCTTAATATTGAAAAACTGAGTGAAATGAAATCCACAAATTACAAATTTTGCAACTATGCAAATTATAATTAGTTTTATACATACATATTCTTCTTGTCAGTTTGAACCAGTAAACCAACCTTATTTAAACTAAGCAGATTAGATATTTAAATTTAAGTATCGAAACATTTTGTTTTTATAATTATGATTTAAAGTGAGGGATGATCAAGATTGGAGTAGTTTTTCTTTTTTATCTCTTTCAACTACACAATGGTTCAGGCAAGTTTATTTCCTTCTATCATACTTAGAAAATCAACACTTTATGTCGGCCGATTAATTTTATGTTTAAATTGTTAGGCTGCAACTTTCCAGAGCACTGGACAGGCTCTTGGTTTCTTAGGAAAATGTCTAATTCTCTGCAATGAAAAATCTTGTACAAAATCTTTGATGTAAATTGCATTGCACCCTACTCTCATTCTCTTAATTTTAAAAGAAAAATACAAGTTATTTAAAATAATCAAGGGAAATGAAATGGAGAAAAATAAAATCTAGAGAATACCAACTCAAACTTGAAAGAGGATCTTGATAATAAAACCTTTTCTTCTTTGAAAGATTTGACATTTTTTACAGTGGTCACAGAGAAAGGTAATGCTTGAAGTCTAAGGTTTGAAAAAAAAGAATAATGATGTTAATTTAAGAGTTTCATCTAGCTCAGAACTATATATTTTTTTATATTAAGATTACATATTACTCTTGAAAATTTGGGAACAATTGGAACCTGTCATCAGCACAAGGAAATACCCTCAAATCAATATTTAATCCTATTGGGACTATATTGGATCAGAGTTCGGCACATTAATGATATATTAAGTGGTTTTAAGAGGTTTTTGTTATTGTTTTTTAGACACTAATCAAATTTATCATTTTAAAGGTTTTAAAAGGTTGGAAAAATGACTTCTTCTAGATGTTTTGAGGTTGTTTCTATTAGGGAGAAAATAAGTACATCTTGGCAAATGAGAGAGAAAACTGTCTGCAATGCCTAGCTATTTGGGAAAGACATGAAAATGTGCTTGAGTTTAAGGCTGGGGATTGCAGAGTGAATATCCTTGCTAGAGAAAATATCTGTGATATCTCACCTGACCTTCCTCTTCACACACTTGCTAGATTAGGTTTTAAAAAAAATTATTAAGTCGGTTGATGTATTTTTCAACTTTAAATTTTTGGTAGAAGGAAGTGATGTCCCGTGCCCTATTCAAGCCCCATTATCCTTCACTTACAAACGAAGTGAGGGTCGAGAATGCCTGAGCCCGTTGTCTACAATAACCAAGTGCATCAAGGACACTCAGCTGCTCTTAAGGTTTCAAGCTTGTCCTGATCTAGCAAACACAGAGAGCAAAGGAATTACTATTTTTCAAAAAAATGTTATTCTTAAAATCCTTCAAAGTTTAGAACATTAAATAACAATTCTTAACTTAATAAAAAGAATTTTCTGATTTGAAAGCTTTTGTCTTGTCTATATCAAAAGATTCAACCAAAGAGAGCCCTGGATTGTGCTAACATCTTATCTGGTCTGACCCAAAGTTCTGATTCAATGACCCTAACAAAAAAGAATTTGCATATAAATGAGATTCAGGACTTGAAATGTTCATAACTTAAAAGAATTGATTCTTTCTAATCATCAGTTTTAGTTGTGGATATCAATCAAGGCTTTGTCTGATTTGGACATCAATTTGTCATTTGCTGTACAATTTATTTTCATTTTTTTTACAATGAAGTTATCTTTAGTGCTCTATGTTGATTCAGCAAATTTTCCAGGAAATAATCTCAACAAATCCTCGTCTCAGTCCCAGCTTGTCTATTACAATATTAATCTATATTATTTTCCTTTAGAATAAGTAAATTTCAATCTAACTACCTTAGTAAACTTCAGTAACTTTTTTCTTTCTTTTTTTTGAAAATTTTAATTGGTGTTCAGAAGAGATACTTACATGTAAAGCTGTTTGGACTGATGATAGAGATGTAGGCCAAACTTTTCTTTTAGCCACATTAGATTACAGGAACTCAGTTAAATCTGGAATAAAAAATATTAAAATTAGGATCATATTAACAATCTAATACTCAATTTAATGGTGGTTGTAGTGAAACACAGATTTAATTAAATTTTAAAAGGTATCGAAGAACAGAAGAAGAAAGGGTTCGCTGCTTTCTAATGAGAAATACTACATCAGGGCATATAATTTCTCAATCTAGTGATGCAACATGTCATGCAGGTCTGCTAGATACCTTTCTTATCAAATGATTGCTACAGCCATATGTTTGTTTTATTTAGGATTGCAATCTCCAACTGCAGGATATGTAGCCTTTAATATGAAAACTGTTTCCTTCAATTCCAACTGTACCTTTCCGCCTTGGCTTTCATCTGGTGCAAGATTTTTGAGTTTTGATTATAAATCACTTTTTGTGTTCTCTCCTGATGGCAAGGAGATGATGAAAAGCAATTATTCTTATACAACAAGAGAAGAGAATCTTGTTTCTAGAACTAGCTGTGTTCAAACAATGTTGCAAATGGAAAACTCAGTTAAGCTGATTACTAGGTACTAAAATTTAACCTAAAAAAATAAATTAGGTTTCAGTTTTATTAATGTATTATTTAGATCTGTGATGAACTGTGAAAGTGTTTACAACTGTGTGATAATTACTAGAAAAACAGACAATATTGTCCAGCTAGAGGAAAGACATGATAAAAAAGTATATTGAAATTCCTCAAATGTAATTCCAATCTTGTTATATTTCCTTAAAAAAAATTATTATCAGGCTTTGTTACAGGAAGGGCTTCCTACTCTAGTTAGAATGGCAGCATGTGCAGCATCCAATTTTAAGCCCAGAAGTTCTCTGCATGAAACAAGCACAATTAGATCTCCTTTTTATCAGAACAGAATTCCAAGTTATGAACCTCAGACTGCTAAACTTGTCACTCTAATTCGTGAAAGCATTCAGATTCAGGAATTATGAAATGATTATTTGATTGAGTTGCTGACAATATAGATTTTTGGGTTTTTTTACACAACATATTGTTACTATTTTAAGTAATCATTAACATTTTCAGCCTTGTCCTAAACTTGGAGAACACAACTTGACAGGACTGTTCTTGGCAGGGGATACTCAGCCTTGCAACCAGTTTGGTTTTACTAGAGTTGCCTTTTCATGTCCCAGGTGTGAATTAAATTTATGAAGTTTACACATCAGAAACTCAAATTAAAGTTTTTTTCTTTTGAAAGAATTGAGCAGATTGAGTTCTATCGAGACTGTCCATCTGATCCAGATACTTCTTCATACTTTTGTCTGGGGTCTTGGAAGGAAGAAATAAGGAATAGTTTTCTCATGACTAAAGATCACAACAAACGGACTGGGGTTGTAAATGGAGAACTTAAATATGTCCAGGGGAGGGAGGGCTCCGGCTTCACGATAGCACTTTTCTCCTGTATATGCCTTTGAATGCTTCTTTACTTTTATAAAAAAAAATAATGAAAGTGGCCACGTCAGATAAAAAGACCAGCATTCATGATAACAAGTTTTTTTTAATAAGATATCAAACTAATCGGAAATGGAGCCAATCCTTTGACATTTTCATCTATCTAGCATAGCTCTCCACTTTAACTTTTCTAAACTAGGCTTTTTCTATATAAATTAATACTTTATCTTGAATTTTGATTGTTTCAATGGAATTAAAGCAGAATTGAACATTTTGAGTTTTTATATTATTTGATTTTATGAAAAAACTTATAGTTTGGAAAGCAATTTTGGACCTTCTCTTCATTACTCCAGATATTCTTCTAGGAATTAATTTCAATGCTTATATAAATTAAATACATGTTAAGCTATGATTTTCAAATTTTTTTTCCTCTTTTATCATGGGTATTGAAAACATTTATTTGGTTAAGTAACAGAAGAGGGAGGATAGAGAACATAACTTACGGTTATATTATTGCCAAGCCGGAGATACGAAACTCAAATTCCCACCGTAGAATTTGTTTCGTTTATACTAATATAAACTCTACCTACAGCTGGACAGTTGGCAAAACAGAGTGCCTTAAACTTATACAGCCTGGACATCAGGGATATATTTAGTTACAATTCTTGAAAAAAGTTAATAATATAGAAATTTTATAATTCTTTTAACGTCAGATACGTAATGATGAAATATATTTGTTGATATAGGGTTCACATAGATTTAACAGTACTAGACTTGGATCCTGTCCAGATTCTGGTTCCTCTACTACCAAACTAATACCAGTCATCATTTATCTAGTACTAGTCAAGTTTTTGCAATCCTGTCACCTTTCGGGAAGATGAACAAAGAACTAACTTTTTTGTGTTTAGTGCTTTTAAAATGCTTAATAAACAAATAAAATAAAATAAATGATAAATTTTAAACTATAATTTCCTAGCCCAGCCCCCAAATTTTTTTTTACAAAAAATGATTTAGAAAAAATAAAAGTTGTAAACAACTATTTTTTTCATCATTTTTCACAAAATTTTATAAATCCTACATATTATACTATTTAATACTCTTCCTGCTTCTTGGTTTTAATTTTCTAGATTTTAACAAAAGAGCTTTTAAACTGAAGGGATTATTGAAACTTGATAAGTTAAGACCTTAAAGTATATTCAAAACTTTTTATTGTTAGTTCAGAAGTTTTCAGAAGCAAAATTGAAGAATTTATACACAAGGGTGTCTTCTGAAGACTCTTCATTTATGTGTCTTTATAATAATAATAATATAAATAAAGCAGAGAAGACCTTGAACAAATCTTCTATATTTCACACAAAGTTCACAGTAGTTTAGTAATTAACTAAAGAAATTTGAATGTGAAATTAAATGTGACGTTACATTCTAAACCGTGAGTATTTATAGAATCTGAATCTGAACCTGAATCTGTTTTAGTTGTTGTGTGAAATTCGAATAAAAAAGAAACTAAATTGGTTTGCAATGCATTTTCATCAAAAATGAATACGATAGTATAATGTAAAGAAAAAAGAAAAATTAAATATTCATTAAAAATTTGGCAGATTGACTCATAATTTATGTAAAAAGTATGTAAACAAAAGGAACGTGGGAAAAAACTATACAGAACTAAATATTTAAAAAAAATAAGAAAACAAAAATACGGACTTGAAAATAATGTTATGAAGTAAACATATCTAAAAGAAGATCTGTTAGATTATAATGCAAGGATAAAATCGAGTGCTTAAATGAGTGAATAAGTTCGAAAAGAATAAGGTTAAGATTAGGCTTTAATTAGGGCAATGATGAAGGACTTAAATGAGTGAAAGAGAAATAAGATATATAATTAATAATATCTTATTTCTTGGATATTTAAGGACATTGGATCAAGCTAAATCTCTGCTGAAGTTTGTTGAGGCAATCTCCGAGAAAACACTCAGGTAAAATTAAAATTTACGCGAAGTTACTAGGTAAAATTATGGCATCGTTCAGGATATGTTCCAGACTTTTTAGGTTTTAGCTTCGGACGTTATTGGGGTCACGAGTGTATTTATGTAAAATTCAGCTTACATTGCTCAATTGCTCGGCGTTGCCAGGGGAATTTCAAAAATTGCTTTAAAGTTTAAGCCTATCCCTCGGGTACCCATGGGTTCCCTAAAATAATGTAGCCAATTTTTGTTGAGCTTCTGAGCAACGAAGTTAAAATTTTAACTAAAGGGCACTGAACTGAATGCTTTTATTGGTAAATGATGGGCTTCACGCGTTATTTCAAGTGACCATTCATTTGAACAGAGATATGCCCCATTCACAATGGTATCCTTGAAACTTTTATCTGATCAATGAAGATAACGTGGTTTATTAGCTTGACAAGAAAAGTGTATGATTCGGTTTATTTCTCCAGTTTTCCTGTAGTAGAAATGTGCAAGTCAGTGTCACTTTTGTAGAAAAACAACGATTAAAAAAAATTGTTTTTAAAATTATATACATGGATTTTAAACTCTTGTTATTAACAAAGCCATAAATGGTATTATTGTAAATCGGGCATTGCCATCTGTACACAGTAGTTGGAAGTACGCTTACAGTCCCTTTAAGTTGAGAAACAATTACATCAGTATTTATGATAATATTAATAGATAATAATTGTAATATACAAGCTAGGGTGAAATACAAAACTTGGAACATTATTTAGTAATTGAAATAGAGTGAAAAAACTAAATATTTATGAAAGATTGTTTAACAGAAACGACACAAGACATTTAAGGGACCATAGTACTATTCTTACTTTCAAGGAAATCTTTTTAAAATCGAAACAAAAGATAAATATTGTTAATCTTAAAAAGTTCTGTAAATTTTGGGCTTGCTATAATTTTTATTAACGATACGATTTTACAATGTAAAAAGATTTAAAAGAGAATAATTATGCCTAAAATCTTTTAATTTTTATTTTCCAGGAGCACTGTATCCCTAACTGCTGCACGTGGCCGAGGAAAGTCTGCCGCGCTCGGTCTCGCGATTGCTGCCGCGGTCGGTTTCGGATATTCGAACATCTTCGTTACATCTCCGAGCCCCGAGAACCTGCACACCTTGTTCGAGTTCGTGTTCAAGGGGTTCGATGCCTTGAACTACGAGGAACATCTCGACTATGAACTAGTTCAAAGCACTAACCCAGAGTTTAATAAGGTCATAATAATTAAATAATTTTAATAAAAGAATTTTTTAAGAAACATGTCGAGCTAGCCTTTTCTCACATTAAATTTAAGAAAATTTAAACAAAAAAGAAATTATTTTTAATAAAGTTGATGCAAGAGTAAATTAACGGAAGGGGATTAATCTTTAATTACCTTAAAATATATTTTTTTTACGGTGTTTCATATGATCTATTTAATATATTTTGTTCAGGCTGTTGTGAGAGTTAATATATTCCATGATCATAGACAAACCATTCAATACATTCATCCAGGTAAATGTTCAATTCAGTTATTTTTACTTAGTTACAAATGTATCAATTACCCTCTTTTATAAATAACTTCTGGATTGGAGTGGTGGTTATAGAAGTCCCTAAAAGTCGGATTTGATTTTGATTTTAGATTTGAAAAAAAAACATATTTTAGTCCTCCTACAAGTTTTCATCTATGATCTAACCTACATCAAAATTGGGAATATTTGCCGAGTGTATGGCCGAACCATGAATTTGCTTAGTCTAGAATTCCTAGAGGTGAAACGTGTCGTCAGATTAAGACCTTTTAAGCCCGTCATCTATGTAGCGCTTGTCAAAGAGATATCGAACATACAAATTGCGTTGATACGTTACATTGATAGTTTCTCCGCCAAGGTCCTGGATCATGCAAGAATGAATTGGCGGGTCAAGGAGGTCAAGTCATCATTTATTATTCTGATTCCATAGTTGCCATTTTATACTCGTCATAACTGTTTTTAAAAGCAAATGGGTCCAGCCTTTAACTTTAAAAAAAGTTTTTTGTATGTCTTAGTTTGCTCTCTTCATCTCCAGATTGAAGGGAGAATTATTCAACCTTGTGCTCACTTTTGACGCTGAATTTAACCTGGTAAACCAGGTGTTTTCACAAACATCCAGCTGTGAGCTAATATTGTATTTGTTACGTAGGAGACAGCGCTAAGTTAAGTCAGGCTGAACTGGTAGTTATCGACGAGGCTGCCGCTATCCCTCTACCTTTAGTTAAACAGCTTCTAGGTCCATACCTAGTATTCATGGCGTCTACAATCAACGGATACGAAGGAACAGGGCGCAGTTTGAGCTTGAAGCTGCTCGAACAGCTGCGGCAGCAAAGCAGCAGGATAGCTGTCACAGCTAACGAGGGAGGAGCTGCTGGGAGAACATTAGGCGAATGTGAACTGAAGGTAAAGATCTAAATTCATTTCTGACATTCAAACTAATAAATACCTAATTATAATACCTATTTACTTTTAATATTAGTATTTATTCAAAAATTTAACCTAATAAACGACTTCTCACCCTTAACTAAGCTTTCGGTGTGCACTCCCGTGAATTGCATTACGTTGTGACAGGGGGGGGGAGTGCAGAAGTCCTCAATTGGTAATAACCGCCACCCAAAAGTGTTTGCGGCATGTGCTCTCCTCAATTGGTAATTAGAAATAAAAAAGTTCACATTAAACTGTTTGATTATTAGAAATAAGACCATATTGACCGACCTCTGTTAATGGCCCTATGGTGTACAATATTGTTAAAGCTTTCTTTATTGCTCCTCAGTTTCGAAAATAAATCTACAAGTACGATATGAATTTTATGACTGCATTTCATGATTGGAATTAAGATACTAAAAGGTCGTGATGCCTGTTTACTAAAAATTACCTCACCCGACCAAAGTAATATCTATCTCCATTTATAAGATATTCTCAAATAACCTTTACAGTGTTCAGATTTTTGTATTCGCCTACTCGAGTTCAACATCTACAACAAAACTAAACTAAACAAATCTAAACATGCATAGAATGAGCAAAAAATTTAGAAAAATCGGTCTCATTGCGGCCACTAGTGAAAATTAAGTATTATTAAGTTCACTAATTATTTCTAGCGCTTCATTGCTAATTGAGGAGCGCGCATGCGCAATGGACGGTTCAAAAACGTAATTTAATTTCTAGAGCTTCATGTGGCAAATTTTCGAAACTGAAAGCTTTAAGAACATTGTACTCCATAGGGCCATGAACAGAGATCAATATGGTCTTATTTCTTAGAAATAAACGATTTTATGTTACCCGTTTTTTTGTCTGATTACCAATTGAGGTGGTGTAGATTACTAATTGAGGAGCGCGCATAGCGCAAAACACGTTTGGATGGCGGTGATTACCAATTGAGGACTTCTGCACTGTAACCGAAGAAATAATGGGTTTCTGTGGACAGTGTTAAGACGTAAAATATACACTATTAGTACGTCTAGTGTTCAATCTAAATGCCATACATACTATGGGTCAAAAATACAGTTTATTATTTGAAAATCCTTTTTGACGAATTGTAATTTCTTTGTTCTAAGGAGATATACATGTTGTTAAGAGAAGAGTTTAAATAATGTTTGATGAGTTTCCAATGATTAACAGTCACTCATCTTAGAATTTACAAACCATGCACAGTGCACACTCAACGTGGTTTATACCGAGTTCTTTTTTTTAAATTTGAGGCAAATTGGTCCAGGGGTTCTTGAGTTATGATTGCACATACAAACAGACAAACATAGATCATTACTTTATAAATTTATATAAATATAGATTATAAATTAACACTCTAGGAAAGTATCAGGTACAGGAGCGGAGATCACTGTGAAACCTGGTTAAACTCCCTTCTATGCCTGGATGCTAGTTCTCTAAACCTAGGGGGAGGAACACCCCTCCCACAGGACTGCAATCTATATTATATAAACAGGGATAATCAAATATAATTTATTCTTTATATATAAAATGTTCAAAGATAAGTTTATTCAGGTTTAGTTTAGGCTGAGATCAGTGTTCAAGTTTGAATTATGATGACAATGTTACGGATATTTCTGTTTAAAATAGCGCATTCTCAAAAATGAAAAATGCAGGGTGGCCAAAATGTACGGATTGATTTTTTTTAACCCTAAAATTGTACGGATTGTACGGATTGTACGGATTTGTTTTCAAATTGTACGGATTGTACGGATTTTATCCTGGAAAATACACCGTTTTTTTAAATTTTCGCTCATTTCAGCAAATTTTTCATGAAAATAAAAAAAAAATTCTCGTCAAAATGAAGTTAGTTTAACTTATTTTCTGCATTCTAAATAATATTAGATTGATTAATGTTTCAATTGACAATCAAAATTCATTCATAATTTTCGAGATATGTCCAAGAAGTGTTTATTTGAGAATATGTTCCATAAGTACTTATTTGATTGCTTATTCAAGAAGATGTTCCAGTATCCTGTACCCAGTATCCT